CACTGCAACAAATTTGCAGTGCAACTGCAACAAATTTGTGCACAAACACCCACTGTTTCCAGATGATGAAAATTAATGTCTTGTGATCGACTGACTTGTCCTATAGCTCCACCACCTGGTCAGAGTGTTCACTGCCATTTGTGCACACATTGTTCCCAGAGCAAGTTTATTTTTCCTTTTTCTTTCTTTTACACTTGTCGTTACACTGAAGCCTGTTGCCTTTACAGCACTCAGATGATTACCAGGAACTTTTGTTCACATTCATGAAAGGTTGTAGGATTTGTTCAAGCATTTATTCATTAGACAATATGTCTAATTCCTCTGCTGCTTTCATGGTGCCTCTGTCTCCATTGTCCCCCAGTGTATATCTAGTTCCATCTCACCCTCAAACTTTGTTGGTTTGTCAGTCTCTCTTCCAGTTGTCTGCCTCCTGGTTTCCCCAGTTGTGCTCCAACCTTTAGGATTATATTATTTGCTTGAATGCATTTGGGTTTAAACATGCTCTCTCAACAGTGCCCTTGGTTATAGTTTCCAAAACCAGTAAGTTAATTACCCACTTGTCAGTGAAACATGTGTGTGTGTCAGTTCTTTCGCTTTCTCAGCAACGTTGCCTGGCCCTCATCAGGGCCGTACGGGCTTTGAGGTGTGGACCCAGATCTTTCCAATTTATTGCCATGTTAAAGAAACCAGTTTGAGATGATTTGACATTATCTTGCTTAGAAGACAGGTGTGGCCATAAAGGGAGTGACATGATCAGCAACAATTTTTAGGAATGCTGTGGGACTTAATGCTCAGTTGGTATAGCAAGAAAACATCCCCCACACCATTACACCACCACCATAACTCATACATAACTCATGTGTGTTTGAGCTTCAGGGCATAAAAATCAGGATATTCTGGTAGAGAGCAGAATTCATGGTTCCATCAGTTACAAAAAGTCATATATAACGGGACTAAAACCTTACAAAAAGTTCAACTTTTGTCTCATAAGTGCACAAAATATCTTCCCCAAACTCTCACTGGCCATTGAAGGAGGCAACACACAAATGTGAGATGAGCCTTTGTGTTCTTTTTTGGTGAGCGGTGGTTTTCTCCTTAGAACGTTACCATTTCTGCCCTCTGTCTTTCTTATTGCTGAATCACGAACTCTGACCTTAACTGAGGCATGTGAGGTCTGCAGTTCTTTAGATGGTGTTCTGGGGTCTTTTGCAACCCTCCAGGATGAGTTGTTGATGTGCTTTGGTAGGCTGGCGACTCCCCGGAAGGTTGACCAATGTTCCAAGTTTTCTCCCACAAGCCTTGGAACTGGCTCTGTAACTCTTTTCAGACTGGTGTCACTGACTTTCTTTCTCAGCTGTTCTTGAGTTTTAGATCGTGACATCATGTGTTGCTTTTTGAGAACTTTTAACCTGCTTCACTTTGTCAGATGATTTCTTTATTCAGCAGCTCTGGCAGTAATCAGGCCTCAGTGTGGCTGGTAGAATTAAACTCAGCTTTCCAACAAATTTGGTTAATCACAGCAAATTCATGATTTAACAAGAGGGAGCTGTTATTTTTTCAGCACATATCATGCCTTTCTACATGTACAATCTGCCAGGCACTGACACACCATACCAGATGCTGGCTTTTGAAGTGTGCTGATAATAAACCTTATGGTCCCTCTTTATGGAGTCATCAGTGTTTCCCATAAAAGAATTTGAAATGTCAGTTTGACTAATTACTTTACGTCACTTCATTTTAAATGAGCTTTGGCACAAAGGAGATGGTGGTGTTTCTGGATCATGTTCACGTATGGCTTCTTCTCTGTGCGGTAGAGCTTCAGCCTGTATTTGTGGGTGGTACAGTGAACTGTGTTCACTAGTGATGGGATTTCCGGCTCTTTTTAGAGAACCGGCTCTTTCGGCTCGGCTCACTAAAAAGAGCCGGCTCTTTCGGCTCCCAACCGGCTCTTCAGGTTGTTTTGTTGCTTTAATTAATTTATTATTAACAATAATATAAAATTATGCACAAAAGGAATTACTAATGTAAAAAAAAACCGTGGTTTTATTTATATGTGTTTATATATAAATATATATGGTGGCCCCTAGAGACAAAGCACATTCAAATTCCAAAGGAAGAGAAGATGCACATTCTCTGTCATATGGGCCTGCATGAATAAACTTTCTGAATCCTTTATCATCCGCAACTGAAAATAGTTGTGGATGATTACTATACCTTTCTAATGTGACGTTGTTGTCCCTTTCTCTCGCTCCCTCCTGCTCTGTTCCTGTGCTACTGCCAGTGTAAATACCACCCCTCCCCCGTCTTCCCAGCACAAAGCACAAGGCTCGTGTGCGGAGTGAAGCGGAAAAAAAGTGAGAGAGGGTGAGAGAAAGAAAAAAAACCCATGGGTCCCAATAAGGAGTAGGCTCGCGTCGTTCACTTCAAAGACCCGGCTCTAAGCTGGGTCTGAGCCGTTTCGTTAGCGACCGACACATAGTGTTCATAGCGGGTGATTTCTGGGTGTGTCTTGGGGCTAATGCAGTGAATTTCATGACAGAACCACATCTGTTTTCACTTCAGCTCCATCTGAGGGCCCAAAGATCACAGACATCCAATACTGATTGTCAGACTTGTCCCCTTCACACACACAGACAATTTTATGTTGAGGAATATTATTCTGAATTGTTCCATAATTTGTACAGGCAGGTTTTTGCAGATTGGTAAACCTCCATCCACCTTTGCTTCTGAGAAGCTCTGCCCCTCTAAAACGCTCGTTTTACACTCCAGTCATGTTACTGATCTGATGCTGTTTAACCTAACCTTCTTTTTAGCACTACCTACTTTTCCTGGCTTTTGTTGCCCCGTCTCAACTATTTTTAAACCAGATGCTGCCATCAAAGTCAAAATGAGCTTTTATTTTTCTTAAAATGGCACACTGACTCAGCTTAAACATTTGATATGTCATATATGTTCTCTTGTTTGCAAATCATTGGATTCTGGTTTTATTTAC